CCTTTCGACTTGGAGTATCATATGAAGTCAAGATTTGATGTGCTACTTAATATGTTCTAAGGGCACGACTTATACGATGCAGTGGAGCATGTTAGGAAAATAGTCAAGTTGAGATGGATTATTATGAGTGTCTAAGGAAGAATCTTTCTGAAATCGTCACATAAACCCTGGCACTTATATTTTGTATATAACCAAGTAATATAATTATAGTATAGAGGGACAATGTATGCTAACAGTGATGTTTAATGATCTGGGGTATTATAAATATAAAAATATTATATTAGTTATACGATGACTTAACATAACACTACTTATTGCCTTTTAGTCGCATACCCCATATCCTGTATAAAACGTGAGAGATATATTTATGTAGTAGTATATTATGATTATTGTAGTTTGTGTGGCCGAGTGGGAGATGTTGTGTAAAATTAAAAACGTCCACAACACTCATTGTAAAAAGACACAACCCTTCCTAAGTCTATAAGATAGAAACTCTTCTTTTAAAAGGGTATGACTCTTAGTGAGTATATAAAGGAGAAAAAATTTATTTTCATTTAATTGAAGAAAACAGATAACATTTAAAAAAAGTATATTACAATTCTCTCTCTCACGTTAAGTTAAACTATAAACGGACTTGAGTTTTGGGGTGTAAAGAGTACCCGAAACTCTAGTAGTATTCAAGAAAAAACAAAAGATATTAATAATTATTCTCTGTTGGCAAAAAAATAAGTATTTTATCCTATTGCTTCCGCATTAAGGTTAGTCCTAATTTTTTAACAGATAAAAAATAATAAATAAAGAACTCACATATGATAAAAATTAAATTTAACTATCTAATATAAAAGAGAGTAGAGAATAATTAATCCACTGGTTAGATAATTTGTGTAATTTCTTAAATTTTTAATTAATTATATTATGATCGGAATATATTGACTTAAAATATATATTCATAATGTATTATGAATAAATAATTAATAAAACTAAGTAGAATAGATCGCCAATATTCTTACATAAATTCAAGGATTTTAATATTGAATTATTTGCTCTAAGATACATGCAACATTTCAGTGCTCATGACTAAATAACTAACAAACATAGATGACTTTTTCAAGGGAAAAAAAAAAAAGAAAAAGAAAGAAAAGACAAGCGAAATTAATCTATATAAAATTGTGGTGTTTGAATGAGTCAAATGGCAGAATAAATCATTCAATAACAATTAGTTATACATGTGTATGTATATATATATATATATATATATATATGAAAACATTAGATGCTTTCAATATTTTATCATGCTCGTTGTGACACAATTTCAATGGTAGGAAAATTTAAAATTTTTGAATAAAATAAGCAGTTTTTTTAAATTAGATCTTAAATTTCACGATATTTTTTTATAAAAAAAATTATTTAATTAACTAAATTTCTACTTAAATTTTTATAATATTTTAGAATGCCTTACGATATGTGATGCAAATACATCCGCAATCATGTTCAAAAGGCCGGACACGACACTCAATTTGTTCATGCATTTCTACAAATTACTTAAGAAGATAATTTAGAGTTTGGCTTTATTGTCTAGGATTGCAGAGACTTACTATGAGACATGCCAAATATATCTCTCTCATGGATCCGACGTCAATGTAATAAAGTAGTTCATATAACTACTAAAAAATACAAATATTATCCATGCCTTCGCGTACGAGATAGCTTGCCCCTAGATGTAGCATGTAAGCTTTAAGTATGAACCAAAGTTGTAATTTTTTATTTTTGTTTTTTTATAGCTAGAAACATAATTGGTTTTTCTAATTTTAGATGAAGAAAAATTAATAGTTGAAGTGAGTGATTAGTTACATGACTAGTGTTGTGGAAGGGAACTAATATGTATTTTAATGTATATTTACTTAATTTTAAAAATATTAGAAACCCTTCAATCAATATTATTAAATAATTTTTAAAATAATTTTTTATTTTAAACCTATATTTCTTATTTATAACATAATTAATAAAAAGTATATGGTATCACATTTTACGATGGTAGAATTATCTTATGATGATGGAATAATTTTCACTTCAAAATTATTTTTATTAGATGTAAATTTTATATTATTTTTTCATTAAAGATTTTAATTAATTGCAAAGTTCCTAATTTTAAGGAATAATCATAATTTTTCAGTCGAAGGAACAAAAAAAAAAGAAAAGAGAAATCAAGTTTTTAAATAATTTTTTTTTTTTTGAGTATAAAATAATTGGTGGAAGAAAATGAATGGTGACTAATGAAGATAGATACGTCACTTTTGATTGGCGGAAAAGGATAAATTCCCAGCCGCTTCTTCGGGCACATAAAAAGCCTCTAGTTTGACACCTCAATCATCTTATATTGTACATAAATATATATATATATATATATAAAATAAGCATGTTTGGTAAGATTAAAATACGTGTATAATATTTATAAAATAAAATAAATATATACTGTAAATTTAAAAATAATAAAAATTAATATTTTTTTGAAAATATTATTTTTGAAGGTCATCATCCCCCCTCTGGACTCCGCCTCGTCTCGTCTCCAATATAACTGTGAAGGGAATTGATTGGAGTCTGGATCGCTGCCTTTTTTCAGTCAAAAAAGCATGTTAAGAAAAATCTTTGGATTGGAAATCACCTTTTTTGCAAATAATAAGTTAAAAGAAATTATGCAAAGGACAAAGACCATTGACTTTTCAAAGTCTTCGTCTACTCCCCCACCAAATTGAAAATGACACAACTGGAGGGATCATTTCCTTCCAGAAAACTGATTTGATTCCCTTAAAATAACACCTTGTTTAATCAAATGTATTCTTATATATAAGCAAATACTATGAAACCCTTTTCAAAGAAGAAGAAAATAAGGGAAACCCAAATTATGAATTCCACCAATTTGGTAGAAAAAACTCCCATCTTTTTTTTGGTCCAGACCCATCCCATTAACCTCCCGTTTTCTTTGACTCAATTTTTTTCTACTCTAATTTGTTTTGTTTCTCATTATTTCTTCGGTTCTAAATTTCAAGGAGAGAATTATTGAGTCTTTGTTTCCATCTTTTTGTATGTATAAAAATATCGATTCATTTAACCAATCTCACAAACAGAAAGTTTCCTTTCTTGTCTAAATCTTTGAACTAAAAACAATGCTCCCCAAGACTCTACTGCTACTTCAATCTTTACTCCTACTTTCCACTTTGCTTTCTTCGTTTCATGTTTCTTATGCTGCTTTTAATGGAGAAGCTCAGGCACTTCTCAACTGGAAAGCAAGCCTTCAGAACCAGTCTCAGTCTATGCTCTCTTCATGGTCTCTTTCCTCTAACAAAAACACAACCCCATGCAGCTGGCACGGCGTCGTTTGCAATCAGGGAAGTGTCACGAGAATAAATCTAACCAGTGTAAACTTGGAAGGTACGCTCGATCATTTCAACTTCTCTTCTTTCCCTAATCTATCTTCCTTTGATCTCCAAAAGAACTCACTCTTTGGTACAATCCCTCCCCAGATTAGTAATCTCTCTAAACTCAGTATTCTCATTCTGGGTTCCAATCAGTTTACTGGGTTCATCCCTAAAGAGCTAGGAAACTTGACCAATCTTTCTGTTCTAATCCTTTCCAGCAATCATATCTTGGGATCCATCCCAGAGGAAATTGGAAAGTTGGGATCTTTAAGGGAGCTTAGATTGAATCTGAATAATCTCACCGGTCCTATCCCAGCTTCTATAGGCAACTTAAATCAACTTAAGGTTCTTTCACTTTATGGGAACCAGTTATCTGGTGAATTGCCTCAAGAGTTCAACCGCCTTACAAATTTGACCTTGGTTTTCCTCTCCAACAATTCCATCTCTGGGTTTTTACCAGAACAAGTTTGTCAAGGTGGAATCTTGGAGGATTTCTGTGCAAGCAACAACCGTTTTGTTGGAACTGTGCCTAAAGGCTTCAAAAACTGTACCACTTTAACAAGACTTCGTCTGGATAGAAACAATCTTGTTGGTAATATATCTGAAGACTTTGGTGTTTACCCGAAGCTGGATTATGTTGATCTGAGTTACAACCATTTTCATGGCGAGTTGTCACCCAACTGGGGCAAGTGCCAGTTGTTGACAAGCTTGAAAATTTCTGATAATCAGGTTACAGGTGTGATACCACCAGAGATTGCAGGCTCTACTCTTCTGCACTTTATAGACCTTTCATCAAATAAACTTGTGGGTGGAATTCCAAAGGAGTTAGCAACATTGAAGTCATTGTTTAATCTGACTTTGAGCAACAACAATCTATCAGGAAAAATTCCTGAAGAACTCGGCAATTTACCAGATTTATCTTATCTTGATTTGGCTGCAAATAATCTGAGTGGCATAGTACCCTTGAATCTGGGTCAGTGTTCAAAAATGCTGTGCTTGAATTTGAGTAGCAACCAACTCCATGGAGGTATTCCTGAGGAGATTGGCGAGTTGGAGTCCCTCCAAGTTATGCTAGATCTTAGCAGAAACTCACTTTCTGGGGAAATTCCATGGCAGCTTGGACATCTTGTTAAACTGGAAATTTTGGATCTTTCCCGCAACCAACTTACTGGGTCAATTCCATCATCTTTCGAACAGATGGAGAGCTTGAGAATAGTTGATTTTTCTCATAATGAATTGGAGGGTCCTGTTCCAGAAAACAAAGCTTTTCGAGAAACAATTAATGCAGATTCATTGGGCCATAATAGAGGACTCTGTGGAAACTATTCTGGCCTGTTAAACTGTCCTGATCGTAACAGAGGACATGGCAACGGAGTGCTCCTGATCATCATTCCTCTCGTCGGAGCTTCACTTATCCTGAGCATCCTCGTTGGGATTCTCTATGGATTGCAGAAAGAAAGGAGAAAAACAAGCGACGAGCTCAGAGACTCCCACCATGGAAACCTATTCGCCATCTGGAGCTACGACGGGAAGATGGTTTACGAAGATATCAAAGAAGCAACAGAAGGGTTCGATGCCAAGCACTGCATCGGGGTAGGCGGCCATGGAAGTGTTTACAGAGCAGAGCTTTCAACAGGACAAGTAGTGGCAGTGAAGAAGCTTCACCCATCACAGTATCCCAAGCTGGAGGATAGAAAAACCTTCGAGACTGAGATTCGGGCATTAACCAAGATCCGCCATAGAAACATTGTGAAGCTCCATGGGTTCTGTAGTCATGCACAGCAATCTTTTCTGGTTTATGAGTACTTGGAGAGGGGAAGCTTGGGGAAGATTCTTGGCGAGGTGGAGCAGGCGAAAGAGTTGGATTGGATCAGAAGAATAAATGTGGCGAAAGGAGTTGGTAATGCTCTTTGTTATATGCATCATGATTGTATCCCACCGATTATTCATAGGGATATATCGAGCAATAATATATTGCTGGATACAAAATTTGAAGCGAGAGTTTCTGATTTTGGAACCGCTAGACTTGTGAAGCTTGATTCTTCTAATTGGACAGCCGTTGCTGGAACTTGTGGCTACATCGCTCCAGGTAAATTATTTAACAATTTTAATATTTAATTTTCTTTATATATTAATGAATTTTGGCACTTACATTGATCTAACAAATCTGTAAATTATTACGTTCTTCTTCTTCTTCTTCTTCTTCTTATGTTTCTTCTTCTTCTTCATCTTCATCGTCTTCTTCTTTGCTACTTAATTAGTTGATGTATAATCTTAATAGTTTTTGTTTAATACAATAATTATAATTCTACTAAAAAAACTATTTATTTATTATTTTTGCAGAGCTTGCGTACACAATGAAGGTCACAGAAAAATGTGATGTATATAGTTTCGGAATGGTGATACTAGAAATAATGATGGGGAGGCATCCTGGTGATTTGATATGTTCTCTCTCGGCACCGTCTCTATCTCCACCATTGCGATCGCCATCATCATCATCGTTATCATCTTCCTCTTCCTTCGTCGAACCATCGACACCAGTCGTAAAACCTAATGCCATATCATTAAAGGATGTGTTAGATCAGCGACTAGCCAGCCCAGAGCCAGAGGTGGCGGAAGAAATAGTACGGATCGTGAAGTTGGCTTTTGCATGTATAAACAATAATCCACAAAATCGGCCGACGATGCAGCAAGTGTCGCAAGAACTGTCGAGTAGGAAGCTATCGTTTTCTGAGTCATTTGACAAAGTTACGCTTGGACAACTTATGGGTTCTGGTTCTTCGGATCTCAATGGATCAAGTCATGCAAGTGGACCTCTATATAAATGAAAAGCATATAAATTAATATATGATATATATATATATATATGCGCACCTAAGATACAATATTCTTTTGATTTTACTTTTCAAGTTTTTTTATTGGACTAACAGCAATTATGTGTTATACAAAAGTAAGAAGAAAAAATAAATAAATGTCATGAGATGTTTGTACGCTTAAATTTTGTTGTAGCTCATGAAGTGTGTTGGTCAATGTAATATGCGTGAAATTAAGCTTCAAAATTTGTGATTCATAGCCAATTTAAAGTTAAAACATACATGTATATATATATGTCTTTCTAGAGGACAATAAGACAATGAAAAAAGATCTAAAAGGAATACATTGAAAAAGTAGATTTCAAAGACAAAATTATACACAATATACGTATATACATTCAAAAGTTTGCACACCCCATATATTTTGCTAAATATAGACATTGATGATGATAAGAAATCGTATATAATTGGACATAAAAATATTTTCCATGTCATTTGGGTGGGTGCATGTAGCCTTATTATATGCATCATTATTTTGTAAATTACTAAGAAGAAACTTTTTCAATTTATTTTCCGACTTTTCACATACTTCCTGTTTCCTTCATATACCACCTAATGATACGTGTCTGTATTGCTGTATATTCTTGATTACGTAAATAATATCAGATGTCCAAAATGACAGCCATAAATTTGTTATTCTATCGTAATAAAGTACTTGTGTGCTTTCATGTCATTTATGTTTTAATATTTGCCACATATGACCGACTTACACCTACCTATTCTTATAACAATTTTATAATACATCATATGCTTGTACTTTTTTCTTCCTTAGTTAAATAGAAGCATGATTTGTTTTAAGTGAAGATTGAAATATATGTTTATCTTGCATGACAAAATTTAAAAAAGAATATATTAAAAAGATTTACAAAAGTAACATCCTTGCAAAGATGGAAGCAAATCTGTTAGAGAACTTGCGAAAATAAAATTGATAACCAGAGATTTCCGCCATGATATGAATTGGAAAGTGAATTAAGAGGACGGTCCACGGCTCCGGCCGGTCCTCCTCGGCCCAGGCTGGCAGCTCCAGCAGGCTCCTTCTTCCTGAATTCCTCCCCTGTCAGACTCACCCTCTATCAAAGATTGCCTATTGCTGTAATTTCAAGTCAGGTTTATGGTTTTCTATTCAGCTGCAATCAAATATCAAATCAAATTTGAATTTTGCATAGACAAATGGTGCACGGACAATTTTCTGCTCATATATTCAGTTAGAGCTGCAGAAGTGGAGTATGCATAATGGGACATGAGCAATTGCCTTGAACCAAATCCAGTTTCATCCCAGATGTCGCAATTTTAGAAACCAGGAACTAAATCAGTGCTATGCCATTAGGTGCCTCTCCATAGATTCCAAGAGTGAAGAAATGGGTGGTGGCAGATTGGCACTGATCCTCTAATGCATAGGATATCATCTACAAAGACAAAATGAACATAAAGAGAAATAGCAATTATCTCAACATCTTTACAAACACATAAAGTGGCACATAATAAAATCTCTTTCTAATTACAAGCATATTTTCTAAAGTTTCACCTATCAACTTAATGATCACTTCCGTGCAGTAGAATAACGCCCACTTTAGAATATAGAAGTTTTCATTTTTCAACATGTACACCAAATTCGCTTATCATCTTATCTCACATTCAATATTTGCCTTAGTGATAACCAAGAGGTGCGGGTGCCTCCCTCAATTCCTTTCCCTGATAATGAATGTCCTGTAGTGCATAGCAAATGACATTTGTTAGATAGGAGTAAACCACAGACGCCAAGCTTCATCAAAAAATCATGGCAGAAGTACGAGTCCAAGTGGTACTTACAGAAGCAAAATGGTTTACATCCCGATGGTGAGCTTCATCTGCACGTATCACAGTTATGACATCCTTTAAAGTTGCATCTTTTGGTAGCCTCCAATAGTCTATTGCTATTGCAGGAGCTGGAACATTTTTTATTGCACCACTATCGATGTCCTTCAAATACTCTGTGTATGAATGGATGGCTTCCTCCTCCAGATAGCCAACAATTCTATGAGCTAATTTGGGGGAGAGAATATATAACACAAAGAATGCATTAAAGAAGACTCCCTGCACGGCGAGAACCAATAGCCTCTCGTACCATTTGGGCTGCACAAGCTCCACCATCGTCATCAAATGCATCCTCTCATTCTCTGCTTCTTCAAGCAAGGCTTTGATCCAACCACCACTTTGCTGGAACTTGCGAAGAGACTTCAGGTGCAGCAGCATACCCCCCACCATTCCAGGAACAGCTGCCACCGTTTCCAGCATCATTGCACGACATCCATACCGTCTCTGAACATCATTTGAATACATATAAACAGTTCAAAAATATATCAGCCAAGCATTTGCAGAAAACAGGTCAAAATGCCAAACATAAATCTAAATTGCATAAATCACCATGCAAAATTTAGTTAACAAAAGTAAAAGTTTAGGGTGCTTCAGAAACTTAAACCCAATTCAATTTCGTTATAGTATACAAAAAATTGGTATCTTCTCTTTAGAATTATGTACACGAGGAAAAATTTTGAAACTACAGAGAGAACTCTAAAACGAAATTCTCACTCATTCACCTCATCTGCCACTCTGAATTTATCCTGATATAGAAATTAAACTAACACTGCCTAAAATTTCTATTAGGCATTAACATCAACATATCATTCTTTAATATGTGATCCACCATTTGCCAGTCGTAGAGATTTCTAAACTTCTGACAAAAAGTGTTTGATTCAACAATCAACAGAAAGAGAGAGAGAGAGAGAGAGAGAGAGAGAGAGAGAGGTTACTATACCTGGAAAAAGATATCTGTTGGAATACGGAGCAGTTTCACTGTCCTGTAAGCAACTTTATCAAGAAACGTCTTTGGTACATGGTGCTTGGTCAGATCTATAGATATGTCTGTTCCATACGCTTCCCACGGCTATACTAACAAAGGAATTAAGTCAGTAACGACAATATCCAAAACTAATGACCAATTTTTCTCAAATCACAGTTGCAAAGAAAATTCTGAGGAGTTTCCCACACGAAAACAAACAAGATAAGCGTAAAAAAATGAGAAAGGTAATGTAAGGAGTTTTTAAATATTTCTTATGTCCCTTCATTTATGGTGCACAGACATGCATTTATATACAGAAAGAGAGAGGGAGAGACTACACTGATCAAGAGAGAAGAAAAACCCTAACAGATATAACAACCCAATATTCCAGAACCTGCCTTTTATAATTGTTCACAATCAAAAAGCATCTTTTAATTTCCACCGTCCATCTGTCCTTCATCCCAGCATGCTTTACACCTGGCCTTCCATTTTCTGTTTTCGATCTTGACCATTCATTTACTTCAAAAACCCTAACAGGGATAGTTTTCAATCTTTTACGACCGTCCCTCAAGATGAAACAGGTTTGTAGTTTAGTTTCTCTGAACACCCATTTTCTTTAGGTCGATCCATGTTTGAAGCCGCTTTAGATATGTTTCATCTTGAGAAGAAGATGATGGTGAGCTGTTCTGCTTAGTGGCTTTGTGAGTAAGCCTGCGAGTTGTTCTTTTGAGATAACATGTTCTGTTTTGATAAAACCACTTAAGATTTTGTTACGAACGATATAACAATCTATGTCGAAATGTTTTGTTCTTTCGTGAAACACAGG